ATATATATATATCTGTAGAATCTACAGCACAAAAGACACCAACAATTGATATAACAAACAAACCATGAAAAACAAATAAACACCAAGTCTTTAAATGAAAATAAATGAAGAAGGAAAAATAATAATAATTATTTATCAGATAATGAAATAAAAGGCGTATGATGGATGCGAAAACCCTGGGATTGTCCATAAATGCATGAAAGTGTCCCTTGTAATCGAGGAAAGACAAGATCTGTACACGTAGAGCAATAGAAAAGTGAGAAGATAAGTCACCCAACAATAGTCCATCAGTGATTCACACTGAAAGAAGTTGTTCTTAATCCTTGTACACCAAATCCAACTGGATCCATAAACGATGTCAGTAAAGTTCATGAACAGGAATCCATTTGATCTCTGACTTCATGAATTACCCAGAAAGCATTTGACAAAATGTATCAAGAAGTCCTTTTCTATAAATACAGAAGATACGCTAACATTACCAATTACTAGCCTGACAGCAAACACAAATGCAATCACTATGAAGAACACACAAAATGACAAAAAGCAATCCTGAGAATACATTGTATAGATAATACAAAAGAACAGCTTACTTTGATTAAGCAGGAAACCAAAAGTTTCTCAATCAGGACAGCTTGACTTGTGGCGATGCAGCAGGAAAGCCATGCTTTCCTCTGCCCAAACAAATCTATCTCCTTCTACTACATATCTGACTTTTAAACCCAACACCTGAGCGCACTAGCGCCCCCTTATGGTGCGTAGTTGAAGCATGTTAACAGACCAAAGTCTGTTACATAGTCCACCTCAGAATGGGCAGATAAAGAGCTGTTGATGGACTTTTACACAGAACTAGTCCCCACCCTTGTGCTTTCCCTCTTTGCTTCAATGGTTCCAGTCGGCTTATTGGACTCTCTGGTTCCGACCAATTTCCTGGTACTTCCTCCTCTGGGTCCAACCAGCCTCCAAGCTAATTTGTCTCCACTGGTCCTGCCCAGCCTCCTGAATCCTTTGTCTCTGCGGGGCGCCCAGCCCGAAGGCTGCATCATCTATGCTGGCTCCACCTGACTTTCGTTGTCTTTGCTGGTGCCATCCAACTCAGTGGCTTCTCCATGAGCTTTCAAGCTCCCAGCTCTGCAATAGCCTTCAGATCACTCGGCTTCATCTTGGTCATCCGGGCTGTTATGTCTGTGACATAATGTTGTGATATTTTATTGGTTTTGTTGCTATTGTGCCTGTTGTTTCTTTTTATTTCTCCCCTTGTGTAGGACTGGTCCTGTATAAGGCATGGCTTTCAGTGGTTGGACCACAGAAGAGACCAAGACAATAAATGCACATGGATTTCCTCTGGAGGGGACTCTGCCTCTTTGTTTGCTTCTGTTGATGTGTGTTAGATGGTTAAAGATTAATTAATAAATGTTATTGTGTTGTTTACATTACGCTAAGACCTAGACAAGGGACCAGTCTGTCGATCCATTGGCTCCACTGTGGCTCCTCGCTCTCTTGACTCCTCCATGGCTTGTCATCCCTGTGCCTTCACCGGGTTCTTTCATCCCATCATTGCCACCTTGGTCCATCATCCTCCAGGCTCCACCTCAGACCTCCAGACCTGCAGGTACGCCTGGGTCCTCAAATCCTGTGGCTCAACCGGATTCCTGCATCCCTCCAACAGCTTCACTGTCCTTGCTCCCACCAGCTCTGCCTCAGTCTTCTCAACCCCTAGCTCCACCTTGGTCCTCAGCTCTCTGGTCCTGTGGTGTCAAATTTTCCTTGCATTCCTCTGGCTTCACCTGCTTCACCAGTCTCCATGACTACAACTTGGTCCTCCCCTGGCTCTTTTTAACGAGAGATGCAGTACATCTTTCTTATTTTTGCTTTAATGTTTATTTCATGCTGGTTCTAGTTTTATGTTCTTATGAAATCATTACATGATAAAAACAGAGATACAATAAAGACAGACAATATTACATCGCTGAATTTTAAAAATTGATGGTAACCACCCAGCTAATTTTTATTCCAAGAACGTTTTCCAAACATTCTGTTTTGGTTATGGAAACGTTAAAATGTCCAGTTTTTTATGTTAGTAGAACATGTTTTAAGGTTAGTATGATGTTCCTGAAGTGTTCTTTCAACTTAATTTTTATTAACAACTCAACTTTCTAGGAACATTGATTTGTAACATTCCAAGAACATAAACATTTCCTTAATGTTAATAGAACATCATTTAAAGGTTAGCATGATGTTCCCGAAACAATCTTTTAAACTTTTGAACAACTGCTTTTAACAAGCAGAATAACTGAAGGAAAGAGAAACAATAACAAAAACTCCAACTGACTTCCAGCCACAGCCTTAGATGAAATCAACTGAAATACAAGACATTAAATCTCTCAAGATCTCAGCAAAGGATGATTAAACAGCTCCACAAACAGCATTACACACTGTGAGTGTCTAATTGGCACTGCGGTTAGCATCTTCATGCTCACTACAGGTTTTCATAATATCTGATTGTCATAGTAGTATATGACATGGTCAATAGCACAATATTTAAACAAATTAGTAACAAAACACACTTCTGATCAGTGCTTAGACTTTAGATGTAATCAGTGAATCAGACCACTTTACAATGACATTAGTTAACAGCCAACATCACCTGTTATTCTGTCCCAGCTTCTTCTGATGCACCCAGATAGCAAAATTCCTGAGGCCCAGATCAGGCCCACACCTGAAACTTTCATCTGGTCCACATACCGTGTGGAATGATGACAATTGGGCGGTCCGCTCCTGTTTGCCAGATTTGGGCCACAAGCAAGCCAAACGAAGGCCCAATATCAGCCATGAATAAACCAAATAAAGCAGAGCTGGCCCAGATCTGGGCCACATTGATTTAAATTCTGGCCCAGATCTGGCCCAGATCCAACACCTTGCTCCGGCCCACATACTGTGAAGAATGATGGCACTTGGGGGGTCAACTCCTTTTTAAAATTTAAAAATGTCCTCCATAAATGTTCAAATAAGTTCCAGAAATGTGTCCTACTTGATAAAATCATCCCGACCCAAGTTTAATGTAGCACAGCAACATTTAAGACATGTAGACATAAGACCAGACACACTCAAAGTGAACATACAGGAACTTAAGTACTAGGATAATTAATGTAGGCACACCTGAACAGAATAATACAATCAACACAACAAGGAAAACAAAGTCTAAATTAACAGAAACCGTGACAGTAAGAGTACAATCATTATAGTGCA